GGAGGGGAGGAGGAGAGGAGGAGGATGAAGAGGACCTCACAAGCCGATCAGCACGCGGCCGCTCGACCCGCTCGACGCCCCAGAGCTCGAACTCGATGAGCTCGATGGCAGGCAGCCCAGGCCTGCAGAGCCAAAGGGGGGAGGGGCGGGGAGAGGGAGAAGGATGAGGGGGGACAGATGAGAAGAACGATGAGCAGGAGGGGGAGGGGGGAGGAGCGAGTGGAGGACCAGGGGAGGAAAGAAAGAACAGAGGGGCAGGAGGCGGATCAGGAGGAGCAGGGGGCGGATGAGGAGGAGAGAGGAGGAGGAGGAGGAGGAGGAGGAGGAGGAGGAGGAGGAGGAGGAGGAGGAGGAGGAGGGGGGGGGAGGAGGAACAGGAGGAGGAGGAGGATGGAACTGAGGAGGAGAGGAGGACGGAACGGAGGAGACGGAGGAGAGGACGAGAGGGCGAGAGGCTAGAGGACGAGGAGACGAGGAGGACGAACGCCTGCGGCAGCCGCCGGCGGCGCCTCGGGCGGCTGCGGCAGCGGCGTCGCCTCCGCCCGGGCGGCCGCCTGGGCAGCTTGGGGCGCCTCACCTGCCGAGCAGGCGCCGCAAGTCCGCCCACCCCTCACGGCGGTGCGCGGTGGGGCGGCGGGGGGGGGTCGTCGATTGGCCATGGGTCAACAGATCCATGGACGCAAGGATATCGCAGCCGCCCTCATCAGATACCCAGCAGGGTCGCTGGGGGTGCCCAACTCCCCCCGTGCCGCCCCACCGCGCCGCGCTCGACATACATACATACATACATACATACATACATGCATGCATGCATGCATACATACATACATACATACATACATACATACATGTACATATATACGTATGTGTATAATACATGCATATATACATGTATACATACATGTACATTATATATTATATTTTCATATATGTGCATTATATATAAGTATACATATACACATTATATACGTTAGGACGTGGGGACCCGCGGGGGCGCCCTGCACCGGCGCCGGCTGCCCTGCACCAGCGCCGCTCGCGGCCGCCGCAGCACCGTCGAAGGAGCAGGAACAGGAGAAGGACGAGGGCGAGGAGGAAGGGAAACAGGAGGAGAAAGATGAGGAGATGAGGAGGACAGGAGGGCCCAGGAGGGCAGGAGGAGGAGGAGGAGCAGAGGAGCAGGAGGACTAGGAGGAGGAAGAGGAGGCGGAGAAGGGGGGAGGAGGAGGAGGGGAGGAGGAGGAGGAGGAGGAGAGGAGGAGGAGAGGAGAGGAGGAGGAGGAGGAGGAGGAGGCGGAGGATGGCGGAGGAAGGAGGAGGAGGAGGAGGAGGAGAGGAGGGGGGAGGAGAGGAGGAGGAGGAGGAGGAGTAGGAATATTGAGAAAGATAAGGAAGATGAAACGGAGGACGGAGGAGGGGGGGAGGGGGGCGACCTGGCCGCGGCGGCGACGGCGACCTGGCGGGCCGGTGCATCATGAACCGCGCCGCGACCAGGTGCTTGGCCAGCGAGGCGGGCTCGGTGGTCCAGCTGGAGCTGCCGCCGCCGCTTCGGCCCTTCGCCCACCGCCTCGCAGCCCTCCCCCCCCGCTCGACGCACTCCCACCAGGCGTCGGGATTCTCGGGGCAGGGCGAAATCAGGAGGAGGAGGAGGAGCGGAGGAGCGGAGGAGCGAGGAAGCGAGGAGGAGGAGGAGGAGGAGGAGGAGGAGGAGGAGGAGGAGGAGGAGGGGAGGAGGAGAGGAGGAGGAGGAGAGGAGGAGGAGGGGGGGAGGAGGAGGAGGAAAGGAGCAGCAGCAGTGGGCCAGCGAGCGCAAGCAGTTGAACGAAACTACCCACTACCCCGCCCCCCCCCCCCCCCCCCCCCCCCCCCCCCGATTCTGCAAACGGCCCAGGGCCCAAGGTGGCCCCGAGAGTCCAAGAGTCCAAAAGCAGGGGGCCTCAGAGGCCTCTGGCCTCAAGGTTCTCCAAGATCGCGCAATGTAGTTCAACAGCTTTGCAGCCTTGCAGCAAGATGAGGAGATGAGGAGGAGGAGAGGACAGGAGGGCGAGGAGGAGGAGGAGGAGAGGAGGAGGAGGGAGAAGGGGGAGGGGAGAAGGAGAAGGAATATGAGGATGAGGTGAGGAGCCGAGGAGGAGAACGGAGAGAGACGGGAGTGGGATGAGGAGGAGAGGAAGATGATAAAAAGGATGAGAGGACGAAAACGAGGAGAGTGATGAGGAGAGGAGGCGAGGAAGAGGATGAAAAGGAATGGGGAACTCGAGGAGGGGGGGGGGCGAGGGGCAGAGGGGATAGGGGATCGGGGGGGTCCTCGAGCATGAGGGTGGACGCGTTCACCTGCAGCCAGTAGACGTCGCCTGGCTCCGGGCCTTGCCGCGTGCTCCAGGGCCAGGGGCCGTGCAGCGGCACGGGCGGCGCGGGAGCGCCGGCGCTGCGAGCGGCGCCGCGGTCCCGGCTCTCGGCCAAACGCGCATCGCACGCCTCCGCGACCGCGGCGCAGACCACCGCGCACACCCTCAGCCAGAACAGTCTGACCTGGGCTGCGACAATGACGACGACAACAACGACGAGACGACGAGGGCGACGACGAAAACGACGACGACAACGACGGCGACGGCGACAGCGACGGCGATGGCGACGGCAACAGCGACGGCGGCGACGGCGACGGCGACGGCAACGGGCAACGGCGACGGCGGAGGCGACGGCGACGGAGACGGCGACGGCGACGGCTACGGCGACGGCGACGGCGACGACGACGCGACGACGACGACGACGAGACGACGACGAGACTGGACCGTCGCAGGCTCGATCGCCGACGTCTCGACGAGCTTGCGCACGAGGTCGCAGTGCCTGCTGGGGCAGGGGGGGGATGGGAGGAGAAGGGGGAGGTGGGAGGGCGAGGGGCCAGCGAGGGAGGGGGAAAGGGGCAGGAAGGGCCAAGGAATGCCAAGGAAGGGAAGGAAGGGTGGACCGAGGAGAGAGGGGGAGGATGGGGAGGATGGGGGGGAGGAGAGGAGGGAGGAGCGGGCGGAGGAGGAGAGGAGGAGGAGAGGAGGAAGGGGGGGGGGGTGGGGGAGGAGGAGGGGGGATGGGGAGGGGGAGGGATGGGGGGGGCACCTGCCAAGCCAGCCCACGACGTCGCGAGGGGCCTGGCCCAAAAGGCCAGCCGTGTGAGAGGGGCGCGTGGCGTGGGCCCACACCTCCCTGGCCCGGCGCGTCTTCGCCAGGAAGTCGGCGTGCAGCACGAGGCGGCAGCGGCAGCGGACGCGGAGCTGGTGCCGCTGGCGGGGCCGCCGCCGCCGAAGCATTCGGACAGCGCCGCAGCGCGGCCGGCGGCGGCCGGCGGGCCGCGGCCCTCGCGGGGCCCGCTGCCCTGGCCAAAATGGCTTATCGAGGGTTCGAGTCGGGTTCGAGGGCATCCGAGCCCGTTCGAGACTCGACTCGAAACCTTCGAGCCTGGCTCGAAGGTTTCGATGCTCAAACAGGCTCGAATGAAGGCTCTAAGGCTCCAAGGCCCTTCAAGGGCCAAGGTTTCCCAAGTTCAGGACTCATCGGCTCATCGGCCTCGTCGCCGCGGCCGCATCCGCCTCGGAAGTGGGGCCCAGCCCAGGGGCCCAGACGCGACCCAGGGCCCAGGGCCCCAGAGCGGATGCAAGGGCTCGAGGGGGGGCCGGACCGGAGGAGCCCGGGGGGCCGAAGGACCCGAAGGCGATCGGGGCGGGGGGGCAGGGCGGACGGGGGCGGAGAGAAGGAGCCGAGGACGTCGAGACCTAGGATTATGGCGCTAGAGCGAAATCCAAGCCGATTTCGAAACCGACCCCCGAATGGCTAGAGGGCAAACGGTCGACGCCGATGACGACGATCGGATCTGCCGATCGAGCGATTGGCGAGTCGAACGGAGGCGGCGGAGGCGGCGGGGGGAGCGGTGGAACCAGTCTCTCCGCCCCGTCTCTTTGCGACGACGCGGCGACGACGCCGCTGATTCCTCCCTGCAGCAGCACGGAGCACGTGCTGCACGTTCACTTAAGGCCGAGCAGGCTGAGCATTCCAGAATGAGAACGAGAAGCGAGAAGAGTCTCAGAGAAGGAGAGGAGGAGAGGAGGAGAGGAGAGAGGTGGAGAAGACTCAGAGAGGCTCTCAGAGAGGAGGGAGAGAGGAGAGAGGAGAGGAGGAGATGAGGAGAGAGGCTCGTAGAGAGCACGGAGCACAAAGCAAAAAAAAACAGCGCAGTAGCGCCGACGGCCCACCAGGGGCAAGATGGCAAGATTGCCACGCAGGGCGGCGTCGCGGCATCTCCTCCCTCCACCCTCCTACCCTCCTAGCTCCTACCCCCTACCTACCCTACCCCCTACCACCCTCCTCTCTTCTCTTTCCCTCTCTCCTTCTCTCCTCATCTCTCTCTCTCTCTCGCTCTCTATCTCTCTCTCTCTCTTCTTCTGCTCTCTCTCTCTCTCTCTCTCTCTCTCTCTCTCTCTCTCTCTCTCTCTCTCTCTCTCTCTCTCTCTCCTCGTCTCCTCGTCGCCCCCTGCACCCCCGCCACCCCCCCCTCCTCGGCCCCCCCCTCCAATCCTCCAATCACTCCATAATACAATAAGCCAATATGGTCGGATCCCCCCCCCCCCCTTCCTACCCTCCCAGGCCCACTAGCTAGCCCCCCAGTGGCCTGTTTCCCGCCGTCCCCATGCCCCGCCGCCCCGCCGTTCGCCAGGAGACTCGAGCGCTGGCGGCCAGCGCTGGCGCGCCGGCAACCTGAGCTCTCCCGCGCAGCTCTGCGGCTCTGCTGCTCTGCTCGCTCTGATCAATCTGCTCACAACGCTCACAACAGCAGATGCGTCTGCTCCTTGGACAAGCTGCCACCGCCGCCGTCCTGAGGGGCATTGGGCGCGGCATCCGGCTTGGCGTGCTGAATGATGTAGTCGGCCGCCGCCGACGGGCCGAACAGCGCGCTCACGGTTGTCGGCAGCTGGTTCGCCCTGCCCCGGCCCCCCCCTTGGCACCCTTGACGCCTTTGCCCTTGGTGCCCTTAGCCCCGCGCACCAACTCATCGCCCTTCTGCGGCCAGATCTCCTTCCCATCATCCCCTTCGGTCGTGACGGGAATCAGGTCCCACAGCTGCAGGCTCACCTTCTCGGCGTTAACCAAACCAGGGTAGCCGCCGCCGCTGAACTTCAGATGCTCTGGCACAGTGTATTCCTTGATCTCCGCCCCCACCTCCATGGTCACCTTCTGCTGCTCCGTCTTCGCCGTCGGCACCAGCCGCGCGGGCACTGTGCAATCCGAATTGAGACTGTCCGCCCCGTCGCTGGTCACGTAGACTCCAAGGACCACGTCGTCGTCACGCCTGCGAGCTCTCATCCTCAAGGCTGCAACTAGAAGTCCACTGGCACCCTTGGTGAACGACACTGGCCCCGCGAAACCAAGCTTGAAGTCCTTCTGCAACTCGCTGCGATTCGCCACCAGCGCGGGCTTCACGATCTGATTCTTCTTCTCTTTATCGAACCTCATGTTCGCCCAGCTGATGGAGACGTCCTCAAAGCACTGCGTGCGATGGAACGCGTGCTCGTACAACCTCGCCTCCACGAAATGGAAGAACATCTTGATGAAGTAGCTACTCGGGAACTTCTCGTGCTCGAACTCCACGATGACAGCCTCTGGAACATCGACGGCGCCGACCAGGTTTAACTGCGAGCCCGCTGCCAGCGCGAACGCCTTCGCGTCGACGTACCTGGGCGCGTGGGGAGGGCGGAGGGAGGAGGGGGGGGCGGGGACGAGGGGGGGAGGCCCGGGGGAGGGGGGGAGGGGGGGGGGGAGGGGCGAGGAACGGGGGGCAAGCACAGCAGGACAGCAGGACAGCAGGAGGGAATACGCGAAGGCCGGGAAAGCCGGGGATGAGAGGAAGAGACGAGGAGTGGAGGGAGAAAGGGGGGAGGAGGGGAGGAGGGGAGGAGGGGGAGATGAGAGGCGAGGGTGAAAGGGGGGAGGGGCGGGGGTCGCGGCGAGGGGAGGTGAGGGGCCAGGGGGGGATTGACGCGATTTAGAAAAGCCGCTAGGAGTAGGACCCGAAGAGCGACTCGACGCTCATCAGCTCCTGCTCTTCCTTGGGATGCACCTTCTGCACCACGGGCACCACGGGGGGCGGCGCGCCCTCTTCCCCTGGGCCCTGCGACGACTGCCCGCGGGGCCCCGAGGCAACCTGCTGCTTGGCCGCGGCCCTGACGAGCCCCCGGCGTTTCGCGTGGTCCATCGCAACCTCCTGCGGGCCCGCGCTCCCCTCCATTGCATCCGCGATGCTCTCCACCCAGAGCTCCTGCCACTGGCTCCACGTGGCCGCCTTGACCTTGTCGAACTTCGGGATGGCGTTGAAGGCCGATGAAAGCGACTCCGTGGTCTCGGCCAGGTTCGAGATCCCCATGGCGGCGGCGGTGTCCCTCACGGCCTGGTCGCAGTAGATCCATCGCAGCTCACTGAAGCGAATGATGTCCTCTGGCCCCGCGAGCTCCTTAGCCAGCTTCTCCTCCACGCACTGCGGGATTTGCGACGTCGCCCGCGTCATCTCCACGATGGAC